TAATACTGTTTGTTTTTTCATTTATTATGTTTTAACAAAAATTGTTATTGTTTATTATTTTTTTTTTTATTGTCGTTACTATTGTCGTTTATATTGTTACTACTTTTATTACTATTATTATTATTATTTTGATTATTATTATAGTAAAGCAACAATTACAATAATAATAATCATAATAATCATAATACTAATCATAATAATAATAAAATCATCACCAATTGGCAATGATTAAGAGCAGTTATCCAATCCGTCTTGACATAGACAGCAATGACAAAAGCGATACACTTTTTTTTTGATCTGACAACTCGGGGTTCCCAAGTCTTCCTGTAAGTCATTCGAGTCTCTCAGAAATTCTCCAACGCTCCTGCAAGTGGACAAGAATTTCCAGGAAATATAAGCTATCTTTTCGCAAATTCATTAAATCTGTGTTTTTTTTACTACTTTATTACATCTTTAGTATCATTTTGTTTCACAGAAGTCAGTTTCCTTTGATATTTTATGTGCTAAGGCACATATGCCTCTTGTAATTTTTAATTATTTTTTTTTTATTGTTGTTACTATTATTGTTGTTAATATTATTACTACTTTTATTACTATTATTATTATTATTTTGATTATTATTATAGTAAAGCAACAATTACAATAATAATAGTAATAATAATAATCATAATACTAATCATAATAATAATTATAATAATAATAATAATAATAATAATAATAATAATAATAATAATAATAATAATAATACTAATAATAATAAAATCATGACCCATAACAATGATGAAGAGCAATTATCCATCCTAACAATTAACTCCCCCTTTGAAGGAAATGCATGCAATGCATTTATCATCTCTCGGATTGAAGTACATAGTATATAAAGTACAGAGTATATAAAGTACTCTACAGAAACATTATGCACCATAACAAGTACCTTGTTTTCCCATTTATTTTTCTAAAATTTTCTATTCATACATTTTTTTAAATTATTTTCTATTTATCTATCATTTTATTACAAAAAACCACTGTCATCAGACTATCCGAACACAACGCTACACTGCACTACTGAGACTTATCTCTGCTGCGTTTCGCTATAACCCAATGCCCGACTTATATAATCCGCACCAACATTGGCACTTCCTTTGATTATCTTAAGCCTGTAGCGACAAGGTTGCAGCGCTAATGCCCTACGCATAATATGGTCCATTTGCAACTTTTGACTTCCTTAAGCAAGACAAAGACTGGTGGTCAGTCTCTATAATAAATTGTCAACCATATAAAAATGGTTCGAAACGATGTACTGCCCAAATTACAGCCAGACATTCCTTCTACATTACGGAATATCCTTTCTGACTCTTTGTGAACTTTTTACTCACATATGCAATTGGAAATTTTTCATCCGGATGTTTTTGTAGTAACATTGCATCCATACCGTTTTGTGAAGCATTTGTTCACAATATGAAAATCTTATTCAAATACAAAATGGGTGCTTGCACTAAATTTTTTTTTTTTCAAAAACTTGATTTCGCTATACCCAATAAAACACTTGGATGGGCGAGCTGTAAGGTTTTCTTTCCTAAGCCTACATAACACTACGTTTACTATATGCTCTTCCCATGATTGAGTGTGGATCAATATATCATCTATGTAATTATGAACATTGGTTAACCCTCTTAAAAGTACCCTCATAACCTTACTAAATGTTTCAGCACTTTTTAGTTCCTATGCATGTAATGCAATAGGAACTATTGTAATCACTCTTGCTATTTCCTATGTTTTTTATTGTGTGTAGTGTGTATGTGTGTGTGTAGACATTTATGCAAATGCGCATGCGTCAAAGAAAAGTTTTCCGACATTTTGTTTTCATAGAGCTATTATATCTCTATGTTTGTTTTACATCGCGATGCGAAGATCGATGTGAAGTTTCTGCAGAGTTCAGTCAGGGCTCACGGAATGTCGGCATGGATGAAACTATTTTGGTTTTACGGCAAAAAAATCATCTGCTGTAGGCATAGGTATTTTGAAGAAGGCCTAAAATAAAACTAAAATGTTTTAATACTTGCTGAAATACATCGTTTCTTCATTTAGATCTCCATTTTTCACTTAGTCCATGCAAAGTTTTTTTCTGTTGTATACGTATGAGTAGTCATATATGTTACGAGTATTTTGCCGTGTTGGCTTTCCAATGATTTATTATGAATCGATGGCCTCCCATACTTGGCTGATTGCGTATATAACAGTGCAGCAGGTGGAAGTGGGTCTCTTCAGTGTTGGCTACTAGGGTGAAACGCGAAACGTTGGTGTAGCCTGGAAATCGTCTCATTGCGGCTAGTTCTGCTCATTGGAGGGTGAGATTGAACTGAAAGATACACCTCGTTGAATGAGATAGCCTGGAATTAGCAACAGATTGAGCCTGGGTGTTCTGGCCTTGTAGAGCGATTGTGGTACGACGGTAAGAATTGCTTCAACTGATTCAAGCACGTGGGCTGTGGATTGTAAAGCTAAGCCGGTTGGATGTGGTCCAATGTACATCGCTAAAGGACGCGTGGTGTGGTAGCGACGCGTATACAAGCCAAGCAGTCAGTCAAGCAAGAACTTGATAACATATCCTTAATGCTTTATGTTATGCTGTATGTCTATACGTTAGATGTACTTAAGAATTATTACTTTATAATTTATATGCGAAATTGTAGTAGCATTGCATGCTTGTAGGTGAAACTGTAGTATTCTTGACCCCGTACATCCATACATTTGATGCTTATACATTTGAGAAACAGTCTCAATGTAGTATTGATATTGACGCTGTGCATCCATACGTTAGATGCTCATTTGTTCATTTGTTTGAGAAATTAAATCTCAACATGGTAACTATTACCTCGTATTGTATCTTTATTGTCGTATACACACTAAGTACATAGTGGTGGATGATTGATACCTGATCCTTTATATCGGATCCTAACTAACTTGTAACAATATAAAGGTACTAAATCCCCGACAGTTGGCTGTGCAGCAATGTACCCTTTGAATGCAAACTGAAAACAGGTGAAAATATAAAGGCAGCTGACTGTCGGGTACATATTACGACTATCTAGCTTTCCACAAAAACATGAGGCCTAAGCTAGGCCTAGTTCAGTATTACTGCGATGCAAGGGTAGGCCTAGTTAGATCGTTTAATCAATGATATCGTGTTGTCTCTTATACACATCTAGATGTGTATAAGAGACAGCATTAAATAATGTGTGTAATATTTAAGAATGCACCACGTGGGTCGCTTTCTTTGTTATGCGGTTGTAGTGTAGTATACGTAGCAGAGTGATGACAGCAAGCTAAGCCTAGACCAGGGCATAGATCGTGTACGTTCTTGATAATCGTAATGAAAACTTCGGGTGATAGACGATTGGGCCCAACTGGTGTGGACGATCGGACCCAAGATATTTTCAAATGTACTTAATTGTTCAATTTTAATGGTAATTTCTGTATTAAAGTTGTTTTTTTTTAATTATCATTATTTTATACACATCCATGACGAATTATTTGGATGCCTCATTTTGTCTGTGTTTTAAAGTTTTATTTTTTTGAATGTTTACTATTTTTGTGGCTACTGAAAGTAGCTACTGTCATCGAATGGTTTACCGAGGTAAGTGACTGTGAATCTTGATACCATTCGACACAAGCCGAATACCAATCAACGCTCATAATTAATCTGGCGAACATTTCCGATAAAATGCAGGAGGTTACGAATGTTAGCCGATTGCATCGCTAGCAAAATTACTCGACACTCAGCGGATCCTTTTAGTTTTACGTTAGGTACCGCATCCACGTTTTTTATGTGCGATGCCAAACAAAAGTAAGTTCTGTGTAGGATGAAGGGTTTGGTATAACAGAGGGTGACTGAGTATTTCTAAAACTGGGAATAAATGTGTGTAATCACCCATTTCCCTCTAGTTTTTAAATATTTAACCGTTTGTATTAGTCCCGGGTGTTTCATCAAACTATTCTTCAGTGTTTTAAATATAAGTTCTATAACATATCAATTTTTTCTCCAGAGCATGGCTTTAGAAAAGGGAGGAAGGAAATTCTGTTATTCTTTACAAAAAAGTTGATATATAATTACGTAATGTTCGTGTAGGAAAAGTCTGTATTAAGAAATGTCTATCATTAAAACTACAATGTTTATTTTAAGTGTTTGTATCATATCAAAGTCATATATATTTAATAATGGGAATAATATAATTAATTTATTAAAACAGATGCGTATGACTGTCAGAATATCCAATATCTGAATGGTTCCAGTGTTAATGATACAATGCCATTTACATTTTCAAATGGATTTAAAGGCATCTGTTGCAAACAGAGTAAGTGTCGCATGTTTTAATAATATTCTTTAAACTGTACACTGACGTCATCAATGTACTGTATCTGTGTGTGTGTGTGTGTGTGTGTGAGCCTTCAAGTTGTACAAAGGAAGACTAGTAGACTTAGCGTAATGCTACCGTACAGGCCTCTGTGGTTTAAACCCCTGCTTCTCAAACTATGGGTTGCGACCCAAATTTGGGTCACCAAAACATTTATGAGGGTCGTGAGACTGTTTCTGCCAAAAAAAAGATAGACTTTGGAAAAGCTCATTTTAAAAAATAGTGTCCAATACTTTTATATAACCATCCTACAAAATTCTGAAACACCAAGACGTAGCTACGAAGACAAAAGCTAAAAATTCATTGTAAACCAAAAACCTTGAATCTACTCTCAAGATTACAATGTCCCCAGTCTCTTTGAGGATTGATAAGATAAGATCATTAAAAAAAAAAATAAAAACAGCAGGAGCTCTCTTGAACACGTACCGGTACCAGTTAATAAATATTGTTGCATCGTGTTTAGGATTATAAGTGCTCCTTCTCTTTTTGAGTTTTCCACCTTTTTGCAAGGGCACGTACTTCATAGACTGGTTCCATTCCTCAAAAATTTTCCTCTATAACAATTCAGTTGGCATTTTTGGGTAGAAGCTGGGATCCACTTGATTTAGGGTATTTTGACCATGCTGATTACGAATCTAGTGGATCCCGAGCGAAATTCTTTCATCTCAGTGTCAAAATGGCTGATTTTTTTTTTTTTTTGGAAAAAATTCTGTATTTCGCTTACTAATTAGTCATACAGAGTTCATTTTGGAACCAAACTGTTCGGAAGACTAATGTTTCTATTCGCTATAATAGAACATTTCTCCAACAAAATACCAGGAAAAACGTTATTACCAAAAAACCTGTTTTTTAATAATTTTTTTGTTTTCAAAGCCATCAAATGTTTTCACTTATTCAATGGTGACAAATGAGCTAAAGTTACAATAATGACAAATAATAAATATTTAAAAGAAATTCTAACTAACTTAATAAGTTATGCATAAATATATAATTGGTTTACTTTTAAAAAAGCCGGTTTTGTTTAAATTAAAAAAGAAATCTGGAAAACTCTGTAACGCTATTAATATTTGTGCAGGAGAGTTGAATTTGGTCTCATATTACTCAGAAAACATACATTTCTATTAGCTGTAATGAAATATTTTCTCCAAAAAAATAACATGCAAATATTTGTTAGTAAAAAACCCCGTTTTTTGGCCAAAACATAATTTTTACCATTTTCTTATTTTCAAGGTTATAATGTTTTAATAAATTCAATACTGGAAAATAACGGTTCATTAATAAAAACACAAAGAATAAATCGATGTTAGTCATTGACACTTGCAACATAAAATTTTATTGAACAAATATTTTGAACGTGCCTGTGTTCCTCTTCAGTGTTCGACGATTATTGTAGTCAATGACTAACATTTATTCTGTGTTACAAATCTATTTTTGATAATATATATATATATATATATATATATATATATATTTAAAATTGTTATACTTTAAAAACATTGGTTTGGTAAATGTTTTTGCAAAAATCAGGAAATAATCCGTAACTTTATTAGTATCTGTGTTGAATTTAGTGTCAAATTGCTCGGAATACATTACGACACATATTTTCTCAAGCTATTTCATAACACGCAATGAATAATAGTAAATCAAATGATAGTAACTTTGGTTAATGTGATTTCTTACATTATTCAGCCACCAAATTGCACTTAACTGGCACACAATCTATAATATGTTGGTAGGTAATTTCATCGAACACACTATACAAGTTTCGAAAATAAGTCCATCGACTTACAAAGTATACTGTTGAGGATCTGGCAGGATTTCCAACTCCACTTTGCCAAAACCCAATTTGCCGAATGTTAAATTGCAGATTCAAACGTTGTTAAACCCAGTTTGCTGAATCGTACTTGTTCGAAATCCAGTGCGATACACACAATTTAATATTATATTACCTAAACAAATTTACTAAACATTTAAAAAGGCGCACACTAAACAGCTATTGATACATATATTTACTTCACACACTAAAGTATATAAATATATGTTTATCAATTAAATAAATGCCAACGCCAAAATTAATTTCAATCTTTTTAATAATGATCAAGCATGTAGACACATTTTTTTTTTTTTTGCTATAGACACTGGCTAAGAAACCATGTTAATTTTAGTCACTTAGATCTTTGTTTTTTTGTTAACATTGAAATTTCTGAAACCGCCACTGGAACACCACAGCTGTATCGTCAATAGTGATGTGAATAATGACACAAACTAGGCCTATCAATTTTTCTAGTAAACAGGATCATATATTTTGTCTAAGCTTGGGTAAGCATCTGATAGGCATACGGCTCCGCTCGAACCGTCCATAAAGTTTACCAACAAAGTAGGCTGCTTCTCCCCGTTCTTTTGCAGGTAGAATAGTAAACAAACTGATTTAGAACACTGGGTCAGCATTCAGCAAACTGAATTTTGGCAAACTGGGTGTCAGATTGTGAGAGTGGGTATCATGATTTTTGTGTTAGCAAACTGAGATTTGGCAAATTGGGGTTGTAAACAAACCCCAATAATCCGAATTACATCCATTTACCCAATACTTTACGTTGTCATGTTATTATTGATTTTTATTTAATAAATGTTGTTGCTTACTTGGCAATCTAGACCTCGGCAAACTGGTCGGATACAAATCAAATTTTGCTTTAAATTCATTAAATTACTGACTACTTGACCATTACATGTCGCACAAGATTAGCATTATTAAAAAGTTTTTTTTTTGTAAGAAATTCAAATTGAACAATGATATTATGAACTAGTTTTATTTTTAATCATCCACCCAAAATATACCTGCCTATAACTTTCAATACTGTGGCTATACACACACACTGTGAATGTTGCTGATTTAGACATGCCATTTGAACTAACTGTGCCTGCGTATATGAGGTTAGCAGATACAGGCAAACTATTTCTTTATGTTTTCATCCTTAACAGCCAATTATGGAAATTATAAAAATTATTTTAAAATTACCCAAGAAAAGAAGTTTTTGCTAATAAATATTTTCCTGGTAATATTTGGAAAAAATCTTCCATTACAACTGATAGAAATATTAATTCTGAGTGATAATGCAATGAGACCAAATTCAACTCTACTGCACTTATAAAAACAGAGTTGTTGAGTTTTCCTGATTTTGCCAAATTTTACCAAAACCGACTTTTTGTAGAAGTATTTTATGCACATATAAGTATAATAATTTTTTTTAAATGTATTAATGTCAAAAGCTCATTTGCCAGGATTCAATGAATTAAAACATTTTACGGCCTTTAAAATAAGAAAACTGTAAAAAGTACTGTATGTGTTTTTCCCTGAAAACAGGGTTTTTTACTAATAAATATTTTCATGTTAATTTTTGGAAAAAATGTTTCATTACAGCTAATAGAAATATATATTTTCTGAGTAATATGAGACCACATTCAACTCTCCTGAACAAATATAACACAGAGTTACCGAGTTTTCCAGATTTTGAAAAAATGTTATAATTTGGTAAAACCGAATTAACTTTTTTAACTTTTAAAGCTGGTTTTAACCGGCTTTTTTTGAAGTTAAACCAATTATATATTATGCATAACTTATTAGTTAGAATTTCTTTTTAAATATTTATTATTTATCATTATCACTTTAGCTATTATTTGTCACCATTGAATAAGCGGAAATATTCTAGCTCTGAAAACAAGAAAATTATTTAAAAAATATGTTTTTTGGTCAAAAATGTGTGTTTTTGGTAATAACTTTTTTCCTGGTACTTTATTGGAGAAATGTTCTATTATAGCGAATAGAAACAGGAGTCTTCTGAACAGTTTGGTACCAAAATGAACTCTGTATGACTAAAAGTAACCGAATACAGATTTATTGGACATAAATCTGTCTCTTATACACATCTAGATGTGTATAAATACCCATTTCACACTAGCAAAAAATATTACAACTTTTAACAACTATTAACAAGTTGTAACAAGCTTGATATTCCGAGATTTTTGGTTCGTTTCACACATGCACTTTCAAACCATGAGAAATCTCGGGAAAACTCTGAAGAATATTATGACTAGGCCTAGAGATGTGTATAAGAGACTAGGGTAGTACTAGTAGGCCTAGGCTAGTTGTAGGTTGTCCGAATTACATATCAACTTCTAAACTAGACCTGGTACCGAATTAAGAAGATTATAATTATTCCATGGTCCTTAGCCTTCGGTACGGAAGCTTAAAGTGACCTTCCGCGTTTCCGAGTTTCCAAGATAATTATCATGGAAACATGGAATAAATACTTATTAAGACGTCTTTCCGAGATAATTTATCTCGGAAAGACGGATTTCCGAGATAAATTATCTCGGAAAGACGGAATTCCAAGATAATTTATCTTGGAAAGACGGAATTTCAAGATAATGTATCTTAGAAAGACGTCTTTCCAAGATAATTTATCTTGGAATTCCGTCTTTACAGTATAATTTATCTTGGAAATACGGAATTCCAAGATAAAGTATCTTGGAAAGACGGAAGTCCAAGATAAATTATCTTGGAAAGACGTCTTTCCAAGATATGTTATCTTGGAAAGACGGAATTCCAAGATAACATCGAGCAGACGAAATTCAAACTTCAAAGATAGCCTGAAAGCTGTAGTAATTATAAGGAAAGTTGAGCTACCTGTAACTTACCAATGGATAGGCCAATATTCAATTTGTTCAAGTTCAAAGTTGTGAGTGAATATTGTTGTATTTCATTGTGTGTTGTTCTGTATTGTCACGCATTGTTCTGTATGTACGCATCAACATCTGCTTATTAAAACGCATGAAAAATAGGCCTACGTTAATTTTTAATGTATAAAAATTAATTTCGTTTTTTTGTGCCCAAATTTTTTTACAAAAACGTAATGCAATAATAGCATATTGACTACTATTGTAAATTTTTCGGAAAATATTTCAGCTGCTCCAAATCTCTTTCCTATTCTTCCTTCTTCCTTTATTCTTTCACAATTTTGCGTTTTAATCATATTTTTCATAATTTTATACACTCACATATAGTAAATTATTTAGGCCTAGACTAGGCTATACCTCGCCTTGGCTATTACTATATTATTTAAATATACAATTTTGATAAATAAGATTATTTTAACATTGGAAATTTAAATGTAAATATAATGACGTTAACGAATAAATAGCAATAATTAAAACGTGTACACAATATCACTACTACAATAATAAGATTAAAATGTTTCAATTTTATATAGCCGGGGTTAGTATTGACCTAGGCTACTATGGCTAACGACAGGTACGCTTTCTCCAATAAAGGCCTTTTCTATGAATGGATTGACCTGTACGAAACACGAACTCCTGAAAACCGAACCCGTTACGATTTTAATCGTGCAGGAAATATCCTCAAAATGTATCTTGGAAAGACATCTTTCCAAGATAACGTATCTTGGAATTCCGTCTTTCCAAGATAATTTATCTTGGAATTCCGTCTTTCCAAGATAATTTATCTTGGAATTCCGTCTTTCCAAGATACGTTATCTTTGAATTCCGTCTTTCTAAGATACTTATCTTGGAATTCCGTCTTTCCAAGATCATGATTCTTGGAATTCCGTCTTTCCAAGATACGTTATCTTGGAATTCCGTCTTTCCAAAATACGTTATCTCGGAATGACGTCTTTCCGAGATAAATTATCTCGGAAAGACGTCTTAATAAGTGTTTATTCCATGTTTCCAAGATAATTATCTTGGAAACTCGGTAACTCGGAAGGTCACTTTAAGCTTCCGTACTTCGGAGAGTAAAACGAATTCAACTCCTGCTCGCTTGCTGTAGTCGAGCTGGCGAGAAAGATAGGCCTAGGCTAGCTAGGCGCAGTCGGGCCGCCGGCCGGTAGCTCACCATTGTTGTTAGAGGCAATCAGTGCAACAAGCATCATAATGATTCGCTGTCGGCGTATTTTAAGAAGCCTCGTGATTGTTTCTACATCAGACATGTGAAATTTAGCGAGATTTCTTTTGATTTTAGGTCTAGGCCTATTAACAAATGGTAGTAATGCTGATACGTTTTCCATCGCTGCCGCCATTCGTTCGAACTAAACAAAAAAAAAAAAACACAGCCCGCAAAAAGGTCAAAATATGGACATGACGCATGCGCAACAACAACTCGGAAGATTTCGGGGAAAAAACAGGCCTCGCGATGGTCTGTTTTTGTTCCGAGATAACTCAGGGGACCCCAGTGAAATCTCAGAAAGTTTACAAGGATTTTGCTTTCACACTCATCCAAACCTGGTTACAACTTGTTACAAGTTGTTAAT